GGGCAGAACCGCGGTCGGTCCCGCACACTCCTCGCTCACCTCGGCGGCTCCGGCCGGCTCTGCCTCCGCCGCATCACTTCCGGGCGAACGCTCAGCTGGCGGACGCGCCGTGACGTCACAACACGTGACGCCGGGGTGGCGTGCGCGGCGACGCCGCACGCACGGTGAGGGCAGGGCAGGGCAGGCGACCACCGGAGTGTGGCGGGACCCCGCGGGGGCGGGGCCGCGGCGCGGCTGCTCCAAGGTAAAGCGGGGGGGGTGGTGGATATGCGGAAAGGGCGGAGGGAGAGGAGGGGGCGGAGGTGCGCGGAGTGGGCTGACCCGCCTTCCCCCCCGCGCTTCGCGCGTTGGTTCCACCCGGCTGCGGGGGCAGGGCCGCCCCGGCCGCCGGGGGGCGCAAGGGAGCCCGCGCCTGGAGCGCCCCCCAGCGGCCGCGCAGCTCCACGCCGCGGCGGGGGCGGCAGCGCCATCTTGGCGGGGGCGGCGGCTGCGGGGGCGCCCGGGGCGGGCAGCGCTCCGTGCCCACAGTGCTCAGTGCCCACAGACCTCGGTGCCCACAAACTTCGGTGCCCTAAGCATTCAGAGCCCACAGTGTTCAGTGCCCACAAACCTCGGTGCCCACAGTGCTCCGTGCCCGCAGTACTCGGTGCCCACAGCGTTCAGTGCCAATAGGACAAGAGGACATAGTCTTAAGTTGTGCCGGGAGAGGTTTAGGTTGGACATTTGGAAGAATTTCTGCACATAAAGAGTGATTAGACATCAGAAGGGGCTGCCCACGGAGGTTGTGGAGTCACCGTCCCTGGAGGTGTCCAAGGAAAGACTGGACGTGGCCCTCGGTGCCATGGTCTGGTTGACGTGCTCATGTTTGGTCACACATTAGCCTCAATGGTCTCAGAGGTCTTTGATTCAGTGATTCTGTGCCCCACAGCCCTCAGTGCCCACAGCTCTCTGAGCCTACAGCCCTGCTATGCTTCTCAAATAGTGACTAAAAGTCATATCTATCAGTGAGCATCAATGAGTTTCACTGAGTGACCCTCAGAATGAAGTAAGAAAAGGGGCAGGGAGGGTTGTGTCTCTGCTGGCCTTAATATTAATACCTGTTTTTAAGCTTGGGTGTTTCCAATGCTGGGAAATATTTCTATTCATGCATTCAGTTGCATTTGGCTGGAAGCCAAGGTATGAATAAGGTGCATAAATCTATACTGGGGTTTGTGTCCATGGTGTTATATTTCTGTAGGCTTCTATATTATATAAGCAAGGCCATCCAAGGATAGCAGAGACTTCATTTTCTCTGCTATATTTCTCACACTGCATTAAAACCTCTTTCACTGCTTGTAAAAAAACATGAGTGACAGCTGGACAAGACAAGAGACAAGTTCATACTGCTTTAGAGTTTACCTGGACACTGTGTGCTTTTCATGAGAAAGCTAAGAAATAAGTAAAGCAATTTTTTTTGGTTTCCCTTCCCCCTCTCCACAGTCTAAGTCAGCATTTCTGGTCTTCCTCAGGTTCCTATGGCATGGGAGGCACTCCCAGGGCAAGAGTCTGTATGTCCTACTAAAACCAGATAATACCTCGACCACCTCAGACTAAAAGAATGAAAACTGATCAAAAGGGACTAGGCTTTCGTTTATTCAAATTAAAAGAATGTTGTAGAATCCTAATTTTCTGCAAATTGGCTCATTTAAAATGATACAGGAAACCAGTGATAAAATCCATGTCCTTGCTTTTACTATTTAATTATATTCTCTTTGCATGCAGTTTTCTTTTTCTGATCAAAAGACTGCTCCATATGTAAGAGAAAGCTTAAAAGAGATTCAAGTTCAGTCAGAAATCTGAGGCACGGATAGAATGGCAGAGCTCTTATCCCAGCTGATGAACAGTGTGAGTTCAATGACTTAGAGATGCAGGTTCAGAGGTATCAACTGGGGTTTCAGATCAGAGTTTCAGATCAATTTGCAAGCAGAAACACACTGGCATTAGAAAATCCTTAACACTGTGAAAGTTACCCTTCAGATACCCTTAGTGAATAACTTGATTCAGTAATTTCATTCTTTTTCACCAAAGATGCATATATTTGTGATTGCAGCTTGCAGATGGAAACAGTGAGAATTGAGTCAAATAAATCCTTGATGGGAATGTCTTGAAATTTGCAGGCTTCTGTCACTGGTAGAAATGAGGATGTGACACCATCATGGAAGAATATGATCTGTCATTCTAGTCTGTTTTTCACTATGTGGAGATGGAATACTTTAGCTGTGATTGAAGTTTCGCTATGATTTGGTTTTGGCTGAATCTTAAAAAAAAAAGGTATGAATGTTCAATCAAGAATGACAATCAAATGAAGTTTTCACTTTGCCAGGCACATCCTGCAGCCACGTGTGCTCGGCGTTTGCAGGGTGCCAGCTGTCACAGGCCACTGAGACCTTGATTTGAGCAAAAGAAGACAAAATTACTTTTGTGGAAACTGAATTTTGAAACTTAGTATTGCTGGAAGGCATGTGAGCTGCCCAGCTATCACAGGAATCTGTGACCCCTCCTCTTTGTGCCACAGGAACTCATTGTCTCAGTTGCTGTCCCTCAAAGAACCAACAGACCAAAACCATTGCTGCCTTAGGAACCAAAGACTCATTTTGGCAGACTTGCAGGAAAGATGAATATGGATTACTGACCTCTCATTGCTGTGGAGAACTGTGGAAGGAATGATTGATTATCTGCTGCATTAGCAGCAGGAGAGAGACTGCAGGTCGCTCTTTAGCTAAGTGGTATCATTTAGCTCTTAAAAAAAAAAGGCCAGATATGTGTATTTTTCTGCATCTCCTTAAATAAACATTAGCGAAGAGGAGCTGTAGATGGTCATACAGGCTGGACTGTCATGGGGCACATTGTATGGAACATGAGGGTGCTCTGCACAACAATGTTGATACACCATGGTCTTGAATGATGTAATTTATTCCCATCACAGAGATGTGAGCACAGCTTGATTTGGAAGGCAGTCAGCCCAGCACTTTGTCACTGAGTCTTTAGGATTCCTTGCCTGTAGCAAACCAGCTGTCAAGGAAAAGGTGTGTTGCTCCTAAGTAAAACATTTTACATCTGAGAAGTTCAAAGCAGCCTTTTCCAATTATTTCATGCAGAGTTCTTTTCCCCACCATCTCCTCCCCTGAGCAAATAATTTCTCAGCACCAGCAAAACGTGTGCATTACTAACACTGCCCCAGTTAGCTAGCATGTAAATAGGAGATCTATTGTTTTAAAAGATCCTTTTTTTTTTCCCCATGGGCCATTACTTTCACCCTTTGTTTTCTAAAATCCTCTACGCACTCACTGCTGGCAGATTTTATGTTTAAAGTTAGTAGCTAATGCTTGATGTGGGAAGAAAGGATCAAATAAAATAGTCTTAAAACCAGCAAAGGCACTGTGCAGAGAACAGCAGAGTGCTGGACAGGCGTTTGGAGCCAGGCATCCCTCACTGGGAAGCAGGTAGGATTGAGCTGCCTATCTGTGGTCAGGCTCGGTGCAGCTTGCCTGCAGTCCTGGCTTTGCTTTGACACTGCACTATTGGGGTCATTTTACAGTTGACAGATTCCTTTTGTTATTTTTATATAAACTTTTAAATTCTAAACAAGCCTGCAAATAGCAAAAGAAGACTGATGTTTCACTGATTATTCATATTATTGAACTTTTGGGTCAACCATCTAAAAATCCAAAGGAATGTTTATTCCTGAAAGAAAAACTTATGGCATTTTATAGTCTCAGGTATCATTTGTTTTAATTAACAGTGAGAAAAGTTTGCATCTTCACCACGCAGTAACTCATTAACTGCTCAGATCTCCGTTGCGAGTTTGGATACAATGGGATGTTTCAGGTGCTTGATGTGCTGCTGATAAGAGGGCTTTGCATGTAGATCCCAGAGTGATACAGCTCTGCCGGGCTCTGCCCCAGCATCCAGCTGTGCCTGTCTGGAAGCCAGCGCCTGGCTTCCCTCCAAAGCCCGGACTCTGTCAGGGGGCTGCAAACCAGCTGCAGCCTCCCGCTTTTCCCAGTGACACGTCTGTGCGCACACACCTACCTTTGACCTCTCCTGGTTTGTTCTGTGGCAGCAAACACCCGAAATTTGCTCAGCTAATACAATAGCCCTGTACTTTTTGACAGAAACGCCTGTGGTTAACCTCTGTGGGCTGCCTGCTGCAATAAAATGAAGGGTGGTAGAAGTTAAACAATGGGTGTGACTACCACAAGATGGGTGTTAGTGGGAAAGTGGTGTAACATCCACTTAGCATTCCAGAGATGTGAAATATAATTATGATTTAAATGCCAAAGATGTAAGTTGCAGGATGAGTAACTACAAGGACATGAAAGTCTTCCTTATCTTCCTTTCTATCCCACTCAGAATCATTTTGCACACCCACAAAACTAATAAAAGTAGTGTCACTTGATGAAATTACACCTGATACATGACTTGTACCATCACTTACATTTCTGTCAGTGTGGGCTCTGTTTACACCAAAGAAAAAATTCCAATCTCATTTACAACATTTTAAGTTGGAAGTAATTTTGCTCTCAGTGGAATTATTCTCTATTTATACTCCCACTCAGATCAGAATCTGACCTAGGCTTTGAATTTTGTCTTATTTGCTCTCATCCTTTCCTATGACAGGCAGGGGTCCTCAATCTGTAAAAGGCTCCTCACACCTACATTTATGTATCTTTGCAGAAATGGCTTTTGAGCAGGTCTGTATTGTTAGAAATTGTCAACTAAATCAGCCTGGGAGCAGCTGGTTGCTGAGTGTACATGAATAGCTGCTTAATGTTTTTTACATCATCCAGCATATGTGGGAAGGAGAGCAAGAATGCAAAAGCGCAGCCCATGCCTAGACGAGGGGCTACACAGTTCTGTAGCAATTCCAACACAAAGAAGTTAAAGAATGAAAGAGTAAGTTCTAGATAGGGCAGTGGAACAACTAGTGGTGAAAGAAGTTAGTTCTAAACTTTTCAATAACATCTTTATAAACAGATACTCGGTATGTTTAAAATCCAAGAGCAGAAGGTGTGATCAGCTCTGAACAAAGGGCTGTCCCAAGTTGTGGCCTTGGAAATTGTCCGTGTAGATCAGAACTGAAACCTGTATTTTAAACATTTTTTTCCCCAACATAGTTCGTCTTGTTTTCTTTATGGATTACATGAGAACCTAAGGTGAAAGTTTCTAGCACAGTACTGCCTTTTATTAGCTGTCAGCAGGGAACAAAGAGTATTATCAGCTCCACAAAGGTGACACCTTCAGATAAAAGCACAGGGGTGAGGCCAGGATTTGGGACTCAGCTTGTGCTTGGTCAGACCTTGTAATTGAACTCTTTGTTTTCTGTACAAAATATGCATGGGGCAGGGGTAAGCAGTGATTTTTCAGATATATGTTCATCTGTGGCTTTGTGTCTGACTAATTTAATTGCCTGAAGTGGAGCTGTAGAGTGGATAAATTGAAGCACTTACCCTATAGTGTTTGATGAGCTGGGACTACTTAGTTATAATGTTGTAGATATTTGTTTCCTAGAAATACCATAAACATTTACTAGAAATACTTTCTGCTGGGTAAGAAGAACAATTTTCCATCTAGGGGAAAAAAATATGATTAGTTAAATATGTTAAAATACAATTAGCAAAATAAAATTGTTCTCTCTTACGAACCAGAGAAAAAGAGTTCATGAAACCATGAAAGTCTTCAGATCATAGCAACAGCTAAGACAAAAAAGCCTAGGATTTAATAGTTTGTGATTTTTTACAGTAATGAACTATGGGCCAAATCCTGTCTTCACGTTAGTATCAGTAATTCCAACTTTGGTGAGTGTCTGGAGCCACAGGAGGCCTGTTCTGGTCAGTCACCGTGGCAGAGGCAGCCACTCGAGAATGGAATGGCCTGGGAAGGCTTTGGCTCAAGCCCCTCTTCCACAACCCAGTAGAACAGGAATTGCCACAGACTGCAAGGAGATGAGCGATAGCATATTGCCACACTTCCCACAGTAGTTTGGGTGCATGCATTAGAAAGCAGCTTTTCCTCATGTAGGAGGAAAAGAGGGAAAAAGCACTCCCTCCAGAGGGCAGCTCAGGCTATCTGAATTACCTTGCTCCAAACTGTCCTCTGGAGGAGCCATTCCCAGCACACAGGTCTGATTTCAGGATAGATTCAGCCACAGTAATTAGGGTTTCAGGTTGGCAAATGGATCCTGAGACAGTCAGATAATGTCCTGTCCCTGACACTTGTTCCTCATTGCATCCATACACTTACTTGGGAGTGCTGCTGCATCTTCCTTTGGGACAGTAAAGTGCCTTTGACAGTTGTGGTGCCCCAAAAGCAGAAGTCATTGTTTCTGTTAACTTAATCTATGTCAGAAATGTTGTTATTCCAGAAGTGGATTTGTCTCAGGGATATCTGTGGTCCGGCATGAAACAGCGTAACCATTCATATGATAAAAGACTCAATTACATAAAACAAGAATAGGATTTCATTCTTTCTTCTGACAAATATTCTTATCACACCTGGAGGCTGATTCAGTGGGCTCAGCAGGTACACAGCTCTCTGAAAATCAAGACATTCAGGACTTTCCTAAATCCACAGTTAGTCTGCCTCTCCTGCAGTGCTTAGATAAAATAGCTTTCATCACCTTTTCATCACATCAAACTCCAGCTGAATCATTACTGCCTCCTGTCACGGTACCACAAACAAGCTTCTCAGCCCCTGAGGCCTACACAGGTTTTCATCAATATCATGGTGGGTTCATCATGTATTTCATTCACAGATTTCAAGATGCTTTGCAAAGACAGGGGCAGCACTGGTACAACAACGTCTCAGGAAGGGGGGCACTTAGAGTTTCGGTGACTTGCCCAATGTCTGTTGCAAAACAGCCGTGAAACAGAACCCAGGCATTCTTGTACCAGGCTTGTGATTCAGCAAAGCACTAAACCAAGTGCTTAACTTTGAGCATGAGCTCAAGCTGTTTGAATGGAGACAGATTTAAGTATCAGTTTAAATACTTTGCTGGACTAGGTCTTCAGCTTTCAACAGCTAATTATTGTTTACAGCTATTTCAGGTTTTTTTCATACAGCTCAGCATATTTTTAGATGATGGAAATATTTTTAAACTAATTCAATGGTGTGAAAACACATACTGCTTGCTGGCCTTTTAGCAACTCAAATGGTTCATGCATATGTTTGGGGGGCTCATGTTGTCTTTTCTAGATGACCCCAGCGACTCGACAAAAAGTTCTTGGCCTTTACCGCAAGATATTTCAAATAGCCAAAAAATGGCAGTCGGCATCAGGACAGACAGAGGAGACTGTTAAAGAGAAAGAGTACATTAAAAATGAGGCCAGAACATTATTCAAAAAAAACAAAGACGTAAGTGTCCTTACAGCTTTGAATTTCTTGCTCTTTGCACTGTCTCAGCGACTGGATGCTAAGATACAAATATAAGAACTGAGTTCCCAAAATTTTATTCACCTTAAATGGTTTGCGTGTATTTGGGTTATAATTTAAATTTCATCCTTGAGAAAAGTCAAACCATTTCAGCTCTTCATTAACTGCTGTAGAAGTCTAAAAGGTCTCTTTTCACTAAAAAAGTGCCAAGAAAAATTAAATTCCAAAGATACTGCCTGTGTAATTGAAGCAGCTTTTGATCTTTACAAAGTTAGCTAAGTGTATCATTACCCATGCAATGGCAAACAGAGCTCAGCAGCTTCTTTTTTTCTTTTCAAAGCAGCAATTATTGGCACTTCTTTTAAAAGAAGCACTTTAATTTTTTTCTTAAGGAAGAAATTTCAAACCCCTTTTGAAAGAGGCGATACAGACTCCATGGTAATCAAAGGTCCTTCTTGTAATTCAAGATCACAATTTTTATTTATAGCCCATATTGCTCTGGGACTAAATTGAAGTAATGCAAAGTCAAAAAATTAATTTAAGTCATAATTTACACCACATTTCTGACTTCAAAGGGAGTTTCTGGATAGGATGATAAGAGAATGTGCACCAAAGAGTGTCTTTCCTTTCTCCTCTAGCTACCTCACAGAGTGACGGATGGGGGAGTGTGGCTTTTTCATGGATGCATTAGTAGTTTACATGTGTATTGTCTTTTTACAGAGAAAACACCATGTTTGGGTAAAAAACTCCTCCTTTAGCCTCAGTCCTGACAGCCTCTGGGCCTTAACATCCAGCGCCATCACGCCCAGAGCTGTTGAGTCAAGGAAAATACTGATGTTACCTTTTATGGATGTGAACAATACAATCCCTGTATCCTTGGGATTGCCAGAACAAGCTAAAGAAAGTCACGTGGCTGTGCATCATTTACACTTGAGCTTCCAACTGCTAATTGCTGTACTTTTACAAAATATTTGTTTGTATGATCTTAGGTAACAGATCCAAAGCTGATTGAGCAGTGCATAGAAGAATGTGAGGCAAGAATAGAAATTGGACTGCACTATAATATCCCCTACCCGAGACCTGTGAGTACAAATCCAGTCACAAAGTCTTCAGCATTACCCACTTAGCTCTCCCTGCACAATGAAACCATGAGTTTACATCACTGTCACTGCACTGCATTTTTAGATGAGCTGGCATTTAAATGTGTGCTAAATCAGAGCCAAGTGTACACTGAAACCTTCTCCATCTATCTTCTTTCACTGTAAATTGTTGGGTTTCTTCTCAAAATAAGGAGTCAAAGCCTAAATGGAGTTGTGTGAGCCAAACTCCCAAGGCCTGTGAATATTTAGCCAGTCTTGTCTGACCAAAGAATGTAGAAAAAGATGGTAATGGAATCAAATAATAAACAAGAATGAGAGAATAAAAATACTTAATTGCATCTGCCATAGATACGATAATTTTCATAGCCTACATGACTGGTCATAAATCAAGTCCTATGGAAACACTTTGTTGCTGCTTCTTTTCCCTTCTTCCTAGAGAAAAACATACCCAAGATTACTGAAATACTGGAAGTTGCAGCAGTGTCTTGAATTGCACCACTCAATAGTTTCCTCCCTGCCCAGACACTTTTGTCTGTAGTACTTTATGTTGCCTCCCAAAGAGACTTCCTCTCTACTCCTGTTAATTAGTTTATATTTTCACATCTATAGTTCCCTGATCAATGCAGTCACGGTCAAAACCAAATTGTATCTTCATCAGATTCTTGCCTAAAATATGGTCACTGCCAGCATCTCTTTCACGATACAGAATTACAGTGCACATCTGGCAAACAATGTTCCTAGAAATGGGCCTAAAACGTGTTCTCTACAGTGGTTTCAAAACCCCAAAGGATCAGCTCTCTCAGACAAACTGCATGATTATTATTTCTGAGATTCTAGAAATCTCTACTCCTGCTTTAGTCAGTGCTTTTACTACTATTTGCACCTAAACAGCCATCTTACAGCCTGACAGCCTCAGCAACAATAACATCTGACTGCTACCACCTACGTTTTCCAGTCACTTAGGGGGGTTACAGCTGCATGACTCCCACGGAGAGTCTTATGAAATAAAAAGACTTTGTCAATCAAAGGAAGAGCCTGTCACCTATTGCTCCTTCTGCTTGTGGAGTCAATGACATTGATTGTGCATTTTAATGTGGCATATATAATCACGACAAAAAGAAGGCAGGCTTTCAATACATACAGTTTGGGGTTATTTTGTGACTTCCTAAGTAGGTATGAATAAATCACACAGTGCTTCAAGACGTAGTGAGGAATTTTTAGGATTATCTAGGTCTTACTGTTCTGGAACAGCAGTCCTATTTCAACAAGTATTTTATCATTACAGTCTGATATCAAACTGCAAAACAAGGTTACTAAGGCCTAAAACATAGGATTTTAATAAACACAACATTTAGGGCCTGAAAGTTACACCACTAATCCCTCCTTAGACATTGCTCCTCTTAGAAATCTAATAACCTGGATTGAGACAACACACTTACCTTCTCCAACATGTGAAGAAACTATTTAAATCTCAGTGACACCCAGTCTGTATATATGCTGCCTTTTTTCTTCCCAATTTGCTCCTAACTGGTGGGATTTTCTTTTCCAGATCCATCTGCCTCCTATGGGTCTCGCCCATAAACAAGGTCGTACGTTGCGACACCAAGAAAAGTTAAGGAAGATTTCTAAGCCAATATACCTGAAATCCCATGATGAAGTTTCATAACCCACCACTTAAGCTGTGATGTGTAATCACATCCTATGAGCTGTGAACTGCAGTCCAGGTGGTTCTTGTGCACAACTGTGAACTAAGGTGTTTTGGTCACTTGCTCACACATTTCCTGAGGCCAAAAAGCCATTGATACATTGCATATGATGGATAAGGTTGGTCTATTATTTATTTATATTATTTTTAGCCACTGACTCATCAATAAAAGTAACACTTTTCAAGGAGTGAGGTGTGATACAACGATTACTTTGACATCAGGACAAATTACAGCAGGTTCTCAAACTCTATGAATCTATAGCAGGATTCTCTTGTGGTTTCAGGATTCTGTGTGCTCAGTTGTAACTCTAGGCTGTGCCTTGTGTAAGGGTCAGTCAAAATTAAGGAAGTCCAGGAGAATCAAGCAGATGCTGTGCCTCCAGATCTTCTGAACACAAGTGGGAACACAATGACTGCATCATGCAGCTGCTTTCCTTCCTCTCTTGTCCCTGGGGAAATGTTACAGTTTCATAGTACCTCTGTGGTGAAGTTCTGTTTCTGAATGGGCAGTAGCAAAGACACAACTGAAGTGCCCACTACTCCTCCTTTTTCCTTTTTGCAAACTGCAGAGGGATGGCCTAGAGACTCCAAGTCAGCTTTTCCCTCTTCCTTTGGAGAGGGTGTGGATGTGAAATGCAAAGTTTGGAATGCCATTACACAACTCTGAGTAAAACATTCCAGTGTGGGGTTCCTCAGGTTCCCATGTATGGACTGACTGAAAACTCTCCCTTCAGAGTATCACTATGGAAACAAGCTTAGGATGCTTTAGTGTGAGGACCATCTTTTCACATGGTCAGTCTTGCAGCGTAATCACTGTGGGGACTTTCTCAACAATTATTTTAACTGTAGTGTGAGGTTTTAACTCTTAGATTATGGACAGAACCCCAACTTTAGTAAAAGGAAGTATTTCTGTTTCACAGGTGCCTCTTGAATGGAATTAAAATTAAATTAGTTTTCCTCTCACTGGCCATCAATTACTTTGCCTCATTTTCAGTCCTCTGACTTTAGCAGGCTGTTCTTCAAGAAAGCTGGGGAAGCCTTTCATCTCTCAGGCTGGAAGTGCCAATGAAACCAAGTTGTGGACAAGAGCCACGCTGTACTGGATACTACCTAAGCACAGTCCACAGAGCTTTAAGGAAAACCTATTCCAGCCCAAAGTTAATAGTGGCAAAAAAAAGCAAATTTTAAAAACGCAGTGTGTATGATTTCCTGTTAAAGTGGGGGAAATCAGTGGAATCTCCTCTTCTGAGATCTCCATCCTAAACTCTCCAAGCTCTAATAGACAATGACAAAGAAATATTCTTGTTGACCTGAAAAGTGAGTTAGAACTGGTCACGTGCAGAACAGTCCCTCCCCCAGGAATGCACTCCTAAGAGTGAAAAAAAGCACAAGCGGATGAGAAAGTACAAGGAAACAATAACAGGAGTGAATCAGCATGACAGGTACTGGCTGGCCCAATTTCTCAATGCCCTTCATGGCTCCAGTCCACAAAGGTATCTATTTCCATATAGTTATTTCCTGGGAATCCCACATGTGGGAAGTAACAGGTAAAATGCCATTGTTCTGCCTGTCAGTTGGATCTTTGCAAATTTAGTGCTGTCAGGAAGACACAGAAGTCCTTTAGCCTAGGAAAGGGGGGATGGAATAAAGAGAGTAAGAAAATAACATGATTATACACACTGCTTAATCCTTCACTGAAAGAAGTCCAAATACAGTCTTTTCCTACCCTCATTCTGATACACCACTGTAGGCATGTGTCAACTGAGCCAAATCAAAATGTGCAGAGACAAGGGGTTTGAATGGAAGCTTAAGCTCCCTTTTTGCCATTAAAGTATCATTTGAATCTTTTGAATTGTTAAAATTCCTGTGGTTAATGAAGGTGCTGATGCTGTGACACATCGGGTGAATAAACAGCTTTGTAAACAAGCAGTCTGAATTCACTGTCTCTGTTATAGTCACAACTCTTTCCTAAGCACATACCGCAAGATTTAGATTATTTCAAAAAAACATCCTTAAAATCACAGAAGATTTACACCAAATTGAAATAACAACATGAGTTTGAGTTTACTACCGAAGGAAAATACAAACAAGCAATTTTAAAAAGGATCAAGTAGCCTTGATAACTCAAATGAGTTACTGCTTAACTGAGAAGCCAGCAAGTTGAACTGTAGTGACAGCATCACATTATTTGAGATGCCTTAAAATGCTAGAAAGCCTAATGATTTTTCAAAATAAGTGTTGGAGAAATTAACTAGTGCCTCATCCTCATTACTCTCCAGCACCAGAAAGCAAAGACTAAGATTTGTTGAAACCTTGGGCTGTTCTGCTAAAGGAAGGACTAGATCAGCACTTTTGTCAAGTCTGGAGAGAAAAACCTTTATTTTGCAGCTTAAGTTAAACTCTGTATGGAAAGGAGAATCTGCCTTAACTGGAGTCCTTTGTTTTTGGAGGTCAAACCATTTTGAGTGAGTTTCATAAAAAAAAAAAATTCATCTGCAACTCAGTCCAGCAGGTCAGCAAACATCTCAACTGGTACTCTTGTATTAAATGCCAAGGACTGTACAGCTTCTGTCAAGAAGTATCCCAATGATTGCCCAATATGTCATTCCTACACATTAATTTTACTTGCAAAAAGATGTTGTCCTAAAATGCCTCTGAGTTCTGCAGAATTTATAATGCACTGGATTCAACCAGTCAGTGTACACTCTGTCCTGTACTTCCTGAACTTTCTCTTATTCCCCTACCAGAAAATACTGTCTCTTTCTAATTTATCACAGTAGTCAGGAGATGCTTTAGCATGAATTGGAAGAAAAGATGACATTAACTTTATACTTTTTAGAAATAAAAACCCTGAGTTAGTTGCATGAACTCTTCTGCACAAGCTAACTGGTAGGCAATAAGTTGCAGTAATAATTTGTTGACGTGATATCTGGTCTTGAATATCTAAATAAAGCCTCCTTTCTGGATGTTCTGTCCCTAAATCCATCATTAGTAAGGTTGCAATTTATGAAGCCATGCACTTATAACTAACATTAGCAAGCACACAGTCATTTAGGAAGATGGACTTGGCACCTGCTTGCCTAACCCTCAACATTGTCTGGGGGTGAGGAAAAGCTCATTATGCTGCAGCAGCGACCCAAGGGAAGCATTACAGCACTGGAACATGTTAAGATGGATTAGGTTATCTGATCTATCTCCCTACTAATACAAGTTTCTTCTTGTAATACCTTTTAGATTGGGAGAAAATAAGGCAACCTGGACCTCACTCTCTTGGGGCCCTACTACGTATCCATCAGAAATTATATCAGTAACATCCATGTTTTATCCACAGGTCACTTATTTGATCATACCTATAAATTCATTTTCAAGAATGCTAATTAGAGCTGAGACCTGCAACTTTCACTGAGTTTTCTAATCCTACTAGGCAAAACATTCTAGCTATAAGTAGAAGAATTTGGGGCCTTTGTATGGTCTTTTGCTTTCTCATTGTATAATTTTCCCTTTAACAGCCCATCAACAGAGACAGTACTTTCTGAAATGGTTATTTGTACAGATAAGAGAAAGGTTTCAATCTCCTAAGAGCACCCCTAGCTGAAAATCTTTCTCTGCTAAGGCAAAAATATCTCTTGCTCTATAATGTCTGTAGACTACATTTTTTTTCCATCTGCTTTGAGTTATTAGCAAGGCTGTGAATCTGATTTGCAGTAATTACAGGCGGTTTTTGTGGTTTATTTAATGAGTACTTCTAATTAAGAAATGGAAATACTAAACCTGTAAAGCCAGAATTCTAATACTACTATTATAAGGCACTTTGTCCAAAAATTTTTCACATTTTTATCATGTCCAACTGGCAGCTGAGTTGTCTTTTTTTCTTTTTTTTAAATGCATCTCAGCCAAGAAAGTTGGTGAATTCTAATGTTTAGCCAGCTTATCATTCTCCAGGAAGGTCTAGACAATGCTCAGGAAATAAGGTTGGAAAGCTCATTTCAAAGAACCACAGAAAAATTATCTCTAAGACAGATATCCCTTGACAGTAAATTCCATTACTTTTTCTCAAACAGGGAGGGCAGCCCAGGAAATCACATCCTGCAGTAATCATCAGCTAAAGCCACTCAGCCATGCCTGATCCCTGGCAAAGGGGCAAGCAACAGATGCACAAACCCTCCTTTACGGACTCTTATCTGTATATTTTTTGTCACATCTACAGAAGCTTGAAATACATCTTTAATTACATTCCAAGAGATGCCTTCATATCCAATCTAAACATCAACACAGAGGGAGCATTTAGAAAACCAACACAGTAACAAGGACATTGCACACTTGTAGTAGCAAAGTCACTATAAGTTCACAAGAACCACACGTGTGTCATTTAATAAACTATCAATTACTGTTCACAAAAAGGTGTTAACAAGAAACCCACGTGGCAAGCTCTGACACAGATTTCCAACAGTTTAAAAGTAATTGATGTCCATAAAATATAATTTAGGTTGCAAATCTGACTTTTTTTTTAATGGCTTCATTTAGAGGACTGTGTTTGCAATACTAGCAAGAAGAAGCCTAAGAAAAAAAATGTAAAGGACCAGTTTTAATTAATTTATTTATAGATTTGATGAAACATGATTCTCTTCTTAAAAACTGTCCTCTGTTTAGATGGCTGTGCTGTAGCATGCATAAACAAGTTTTGTTTTGCTATAAGTGCCAAATATCATTTAGTCTAATTTGTTAAGAGTAGTTGCTTCCTGTCAGTAATTTGAAACACCTGCACATCTCTGTCCCTTTTATTAAAACAAACATCCATGAAGTGAACTGGCCTGACATCTTTGCCTTAGTCACCATGTAACAATAATGATGCACCAAATACCTGCACACTGTACTGTTAATGAGGCATCAAATGTGCTCCATGAAGATACTGTTTACCTGTGTGTGTGTTTACCTATGTGCATCTCTGTGCAGAGCAGCACTGCACAACATACCCTTAACACTCCTGGCTTACCATTCTTAACAGTTACTATTTTATGAATATCTGTATAAAACAAGCCAATGGTTAATAAAACAATAATGAACACTGTTGTCACCTGTCACAGCTAAGCACAACACAGCAGATAAATTCCTGTGACAAGAACTGCATGTTTTAAAGAGTTGTAGCAGCATCCCTTAATGCTTGTAGCAGGATACTGGGAATTGCTGA